TATGTTTGTTCTTTGTAACCAACCTTCGTATTAATTAATTATTGTTTAAACGAATTTTTATTGTAAAGTCTGTTTTCCACTAGGCAAATTTCTTCGCGCGAATCGAAAGCGTAGGTACATGCACATGCGTTTTCACAAACTATTTTTACTTTTTGCTTAGCGAAAAAATGCGCATCCAATCAGAGCTCAGGAAGCGACCCGAAGGTTTTGATTCCCGTGAGTAAATTCGTCTAGTGGAAAACGGCCTTAAAAACATATCTATAAGTGGCAATAAAAGAATCATGTATCCTGTATCTTGTACCTTGTATTTTGCATAATGTATACTTGCAAAGCATGAGCAGTCGAATACAAGAAAAAAACTTTACTAAATGAATGTACACAATTTTACTATTTGATGTTAATTCACTAAATTTATGCAACAGACACAGAACCACCTGAAATGACATGTCCAAATAATATGACTGTGGATACTGATTTGGGTTCACCAACGGTGGCGCTCGATTATTCAAGTTCAATAATCAAAAGTGACAACTCAGGTGAATTAACCATTTCTCCTGATCTCAATATAACATTTCCAGTTGATATTGGGATTGGAGCTACCCATTTCACGTTTACAGCAACAGATTCGTCGGGAAATTATAAGACGTGTACGTTTACGATAACGGTTCAAGGTTAGTGATCGTACATTTACCATTAATAATGTAATAACGGAAAAACAGGTAGACGGAAGAAAGATAGGCAACTGTGGCTAGATTTATGAATAAAATGTTGGAAATGATGTGTTTCATTGTTGGTATTTTTGGTTAAAATTTGTATTAAATGACATAGTGTGCAAATCGATTTAAAAGTTTTGGGATTTTGTTTATTTATATAGAGCCTTTATTTTCAGATAGGCCTACTAATCACTTTTGTCCTGTCTGAGGTCATTGGATGAATATACAGTTTATGTGTATCCTTGTAGGTCTATTTAGAAAATCAAACACGTAAAACAAGAACAAGTAAACAACACTAGATGCAAATACGATACGAATAAAAATGAACATACAATGGACCATTCTGCTAAGCTCGCCGCTTGGATTGTTCCTAAGCTCCCACCAAAGGGCAGTTTAAAAATATACGTAAACACGTGTTTGTGGGACAACACGTATGTTTGTGGAACAACACATGTGCTTGTTAAAAGACGCGCGTATCCCTGGTCCTGTTCTGATTGGTCAGTTGTTACGTTCCTCTGAAACTCCGGAAAAGTCTATAATGATCGATCTATGTTTATTTACAGATACAGAGCAACCTATACTGACATGCCCGTCTAACAACACTGTGCTTACAGACATAGGTGTTGCATTAGTTGACTATTCAGGTTCAATAACGGTTAATGACAACTCAGGAGAAGTTATTACCCTCTCGCCTGATCCATATGTAGAGTTTCCAGCATATAATAGAATTGGAATACACAACTTTACATTTACAGCTACGGACTCGTCGGGAAATTTTGTTAATTGTACATTTACAATAACAGTTGAAAGTTAGTATAATCACGACTTGTATTATTAAGAATTGTCTAAGAATTGAATGTATAGGATGTATTCTAATTAATGTGTTGTCTGTAACAGCTAATCCAATTAGCTAACTAGAAGAATCATATATCTACAGAGTAAAACAAAAAGTTTAACGTAGATATGAGCCGCATATAGATATAGAAAATACTGAAGTAAAGGTAAATATCAGGTAGTAGTAGCGCACTAGATTTTACAGAATATAGACAGTGACTTAACGATGGGGTCGGGGGCCTGTGTATTTCTGAAACTGGGGACGTACACCTTTTCTGGGTCACGGTCACCAATTCCATCGTGGGATTTTAGATGTGCATTGTTATTCTAGATGTTCTAAACGACGAATAAATGATATAATATGGATTCAGAAAATTGAGGCCAGGGAGTGACTTTCACATTTGAGTCTATACCACCTCAGACCCACCATGGTTGGGGCTGAGGTAAGAAAATGTATGAATATGGCACCTTTAGATGGCCGGAAATGGCATCACAGACATAAAATTGTGAATATATATATTTTTTATCTCCAGTTAAAAAATGTTTTGAAAACTTTAGTGGGGACTCGGGCCAACAGCTCCAGGCCGACAGCTCCTTCCACCCTAACTCTTTATTCCTTTATTCCGCCACTGGATATAATAATAGGCCCTATATATCCCACAGTCGATTTCAGACACAAATTATGCTGTTGCCCTTGTGGGGCTGAGAAAAGAAAATGTATTATTATGGCACGTCTAGATGGCCGGAAATGACACTCACATACTTAAAATTGTGAATATAATTTTCTTTTTATCTCCATTTTTTATTTATTTTTTGACAAATTTGGTGGAGTCCCGGGCCGAGAGGGGCCCCGTCGGGCCGACCGGGCCCCCTCTCTTTAATCGTTATAATATGATATATGCCCTACAGTCGATTTCAGAGACACATTATGGTGTTATTTATCAACAAATTCCTTTGATCAGGGTGCCAGATCGAGGAACCTATGGGTAGGGCACCTTCGGGGTCCCTAGAATTCAGGGGCCCTGCGGACCGCCGCATGAGAGCGCATAGGCGTTACGCCACAGAGAGTGGAGTTGAATGCATGCCTTATATTGTCCTTTGTTCAATCATTGTCACGGTAACAAGATTGTTCTCATGACCAAACCAACTGCACTACCTAAGCCTCATAACTAGACTTAGCATCTATGTGTATGTTTCTCTTGAAGGGATTGCTACTTAAATAAATGACTACGTTTGCACTTTGACATATCCCTGACGTTTGTTCCTTTAATTATTTACTATAAATAAATTAAATAAAGGAATCAGGCCTTTCAGCCACTAAAACTAG